CAGGCCTGAAACGTCAGCCTTCCTGCTCCTATGATGCTGCTTGGCCTGCTGTGTTCATCCAGCTCTACACCTTGTTATCTCAGATTTTCCAGCATCTGCAGTTCCTACTATCTCTGATGTGTAGACCTGTTTGCGTCTTTATCCAGTACAAATGTAGCAATACAATTTATTTTTAGAAGTACAGGAAAGGGAGTTAAAATCTGCAAAGAAAATGTTATCTCGTTAATATATATTACTAACTTCATAAATATAATTGAGAAGATTTTCATTTCCAATAAAAGTATTAAACTGCTGTAAGAAGAGGATGTGATGGCATGCTAATAATGTCACTGGACCACTAAAATGGAAGCCCAGGCTAATGTGCTGGCTACCTGGGTTCAAATCCTGCTAGGATAGCTGGTGGAAATTCAATTCCATCATTATCACTGATATTTCTGATTTAATGACCATGGCATCCAGTTGAGAGTTGTAAAAACTCATCTGGTTCACCATGCCCTTCAGGATGGGAAGTTTGCCATCCTTATCAGGTCTGGCATACATGTGACTCCAGACCCATAGCAGTATGGTTGACTTAAACTGTTGCCTGGAAGAGCCTAGCAAGTCACTCAGTGCAAGGAACAGTTAAGGATGGCAACCAATGTTGTGACACCTACATTCTATCAAAGAATAAAGGGAGAAAAAGCATGCTTTTGACTTCTCCAGAAATAGTGTTGAGAGGAAATTTTCCCATTTAGATTTGTAGTGTAGCAAGTTTACATGTTTGCAATATTGCTAACTAAGTACTATTCCTGACAGATTTCCCAATGCTTCTAATCCATAGCAACCAGAGGACACTTTGCTATTGTGATTGCAGTGTTGCTAATGTCTGGCAATGAGAACAAATCTCTAGCTGTGTTTGTAATTTTGCAGACACAATAAACAGAAGAATTTGTTCCTTCAGATCATAAACTAATTATGTTCTGTATATCAACTGTTTACTAAACTTTTGCTGTGCTGATTCCCTTTGCAATAACAGCATTAGATTTACATTGGGCCTTTAATGAAAAGAAAAGTTTCACAAACTTCATAATGAATTAGGTAGAGTGATACAAGTTTTAAATTAGTAATGTAAAGGCCTTTATGTTGGAAGTTTCAGAGGTTAGAGCAGAAGCTTCCATAAACTCTGCTCTGACTGAATAGACAAAGAAAGGGTAGGAGAAACTAATGGTCAGATAAAGAAGTCAAAAGTTTGCTATAAGAAATGAGAATTATAGAAGGATTTGAAGATTAAGATAAGGATTTTAAATTTAATAGGCTATAAAATATGGAACTTGTGTAAGTCAATAAGAGGTGATCAGGAATTAGTGTAGAATTTGATATGGGTGGCTAAGTTTTTGTAAATTTGGAATTTATGACAGTAGAAGTTTGCAGGCCAACAAGAACAAGATTAGACGTCTGAATGTGTTGTCACTTATATTGTAACTATAATATACAAATTGTTCCAATCTGTTTCACAATGGAGTTAGATAGGGGAATGGCTTCAATCTATGGAGGGAGAGATTAGCAATGGTAACAAACAGCTTTCAGAAAAATATATTTTGAGTAAGTTTCTAAAAGATGGGGAGAGAAACACAGTAGTAAAAGGCTTGAGGGTAAGAAATGCTATATTAGAATCCTGTTTGTTTCATAGCTTTAACTAAATTGAATAATTAATAACGATAACGGCTGTGCCTAAATATGAAAGTGTTGACAAACTTATACCTTTGACCCAAGCCTAACTTGTAACTGACTAACTAAAAACATTGTCTTAAAATCAAACTATACCAAATTCAATTGACTTATTTAGAATAATGCATGTTGCTTACATTCCCTAGTCTCCTCATATATGTGTGTCTTTTCAACATAGATGTTTATTCTCCCTTCAATATACAGGTGACATCAAAGCTGAATCTTCAGCACAGAAGACCCCACAAATAAATGGACACAGTGTGTGCATCTCTGAATCTGTGGTCAAGAGAGGTCCTGGTAGGAAACCACAGGAGGTAAAAAGTCTTAAAGGACCTGGTAAGAAAAGAGGTAGGAAAAGTAAAAAAGAGCTACTTGATATTGAACATCAGAATGCAATGAAGAAAGCAGAAGTTAAAAAAGACATATCCAATGAGAACGGTGAAGAAGCTACCTCAGAAAGCAGCTTTAGTTCAGAGACCCACACACAAAGAAAATCTTTGCAGAAGAAACCAAGAGGCAGGAAACCCAAAGGAAAGAGTCTAAAAGCTAAATCCAAATTGATAGCTGCTGCTAAACGAAAAATGCAGACAAGAAGCAACAGTAGGAAGCATGAGGAGCCTATGGAACCCATTGAGCCCATAGAGCCTGTGGAAGATGATGAAAGGACTGAGGAGGCCGTGGGCTCTAAATCGGTCATGAAAACGAGGAATCAAGGTAGACGGACAACATGCTACAATGAAGAGGATTCAGAGGAGGAGCAAAGGCAGCTACTGTTTGAAGATTCCTCTTTAACTTTTGGAACATCCAGTAGGGGCAGGCTGCGGAAACTGACTGAAAAAGCAAAGGCTAACCTGATTGGTTGGTAAACAACTATAGCGTTTTGTCTAATCAATGAAGTTTCTTGTTTTAACAAGAACGGGTAAGGGAATTTTGCACTTGAGGTCACTGCATTGTCACTTGCAGATTGATTAAAGACATGATTTGAGATTTTATCAGAAGACAAAATGAGCAAGGACCGAATTGTTTAAAAACAATTTAATTTCTTGATTAATATTCACTAGTTACTGTCTTGTTACATTATAATCCAGAAATCGTTGATGTTTTGCTAGCAGTAATTCATGGTAGAATTTTGACATTGTGAAGTACATTTTCACCTAGTTCCATCTTCTGTTTTCTGAAGAACTGCAGATTTTGGTTTTGCTTTGGAATTGAAGACAAATTTGCAGTTTAGAGGATGGGCTCAGTTAGTATTTACAATTTCATAAAAATGTAACAATGATTGACAATTAGTTGGCATTAAACTGGACAAGTTCCTTTTTTTAAAAAAAGATGCCTTTTAAATTTTCCATTTCCGTTACTTCATCTTTAGAGATATTTTAGGTATTCCATTCTGTTTTTAAACTTCTATCATCAAGAATTTATAAAAGTAATCTAAAATAATAAATTAAAAATGTGACTGTCATGTTTCAGCATCCCTGAAAACACATTTAATATTTAAGTTAGGTATTTGTAGCTCTCAAAAGTCTGCATTGGTGGTCAGTTAAGTTTGGAAATATATGTTGGTCAGTATTTTTTAAAATTCTTTAATTGTTCCTTCAATTCCTTAGTGTTCAGATAGAATTGTTTATGTAATATTACTTACCTTCTTTTCAAAATTTAATACACTTATGCTGTGCTGGCTCGCATCTTTCATGGAAAAGGTTAGAGTAGTGTTGTTTATCATTGATTGGTTTGCACATCAGCAAATATATCCCATTCTTCAATAAGCATATTTAAGTTGAAATCTTAAATGCCAACCAAGGATGATAAGTCTTGACTTTAGCTTTCACTTTGAATCCCAAAGCACCTACCATCAAAATCTCCTGATTGCAGTTCTTTTTTTTCCAGTTTTTGATGTTTCACATACTCATTTACAATCAGCAAATTTTGCAAGTACTTGCACTACCAATTATGTATAATTGACCATGATACAATTAAGCAAATATAATTTATTTTTATCATAAAAAATACATTTTGATAGTTATTTTGTCATGTATATTTAGGTTGTACATGCTGTCCTCACTTCACCTTCAGAAGCTAACAATCAGTCCTTGCTTATTTGTCAGCCATAATGTACTGCAAATAATCTACAGTTGACTTCAAGTGCATTTGGGCACCTGCAATTCAAGCTTTCCAAAGAATTGCACAAATACCCTGTCATTTTCCCACTATTATGAAGCAATTATAAGCTGCTTCTCCCATTTGTTGAATGTAGAGACAAACAAAAAAGACTGCATTGCACTGGAACTGAGTGGTTGTCTCTTGCTTGTCTTACACAATCAGGAAAAAAATGTTGCCGAAGAAGGAGTCTGATTTTAGTTATGTTTTTCACTTACGTACTCACTCACTCTCTCACTCACTCACTGACTCACTCACTGACTCACTCACTCACTCACACACACACACACACACACACACACACACACACACACAAACTTGTATATTGTAAGTAGAAAAAATATTTTAAGATATAGTGCAGGGATGGGGTTGAGATGTGCCATCTATTCAAATGGCTTTATAGCACACTCACATATGAACGCTTTATAAAGGGTTTATGAGAACATGCCCAGCTCCTTTAACTGGGTAAGGTTATGAGACTTTAGAACTACCAAGCATGTGAATTGTGCTGAAATTTCCAGACTTCTTTAGTTTGTGAGAATTTCCCCCACCCCTTCAATGATACAGGATTTCATGGGAACTTACTTGGCACTGGTACGCAATTAATAAACGTCATGGTTTAAAGATCCCATTGTATATGAATATTAGCTCAATTATGCTTACTGGGCTTTCTAGGGAGAAACATTCATTCCATGCAGTAATCTGTTCTGGAGCTTGCACCCTATTTTCTGATTTTAAAGGAAAGTTGACTTTTTTGTAATCAGTAATGAAGTGGTCAAATTACTTTTTATTGGATGCTTGCAAATAGTACATTACTACACAGTGTCGTTTTTGTGCACTTTCTGCCTATGTCTGTTATGCTACATTGAGTCAGTATCTTCCCTTAAAAGGAATAGCATTTGGTGATTGTGCCTTGAATATATTTTTTTTCTATTTTCTTGTTAATGGTTAGGGCTGGGACAAAGATTATTACACTCCAGAGGTTTTCTATCTTTTGACATAACCTACTTGTATGTAAATAACAAGCAAAACTGTGTTTTTAAACATGAGAGCACAGAAATCACTTTTGAAAGTGATGAGATACCATGCACTGCATGCAGTAAATGTATACATGATTGCAGATCAATTTTCTTTCAAACTGCCAAATGTAAACAGTACATTCTGAAGCAGAATATTTCTTCAAGACACTTCAGAATTTTGTCCCAGTTCTGATTTCCCCTTGGCAAAGTAAGGGTGATGTTTGATTTGATGGTAAACTTCTCACTGAAGTGAACTTGATTTCTTTTGCTGTTCATTTTTCTGAAGTAATGTGATAGTTTTTATTTCTTGGTTTACCATTTTTATTTGATTGGATTTTTAAAACAGTTAGTTGTTTTTATATAAGCATCACCTCTTACCCGTTATTTTTGTATGAACTGTTAAGAAAACATTTTTGCAATTCATCACTTACAAATAATGCAGATATGTAGAGGAGCATCATACTCATCAAGATACCAGTGCATTCTATCCAGTCAAGTTGGAAACTGTTGCTATGATATGTACTCGTGCATCATTCTGGCTTTTGTTTAAGTATTTGCCTTTGTTAACATTTTTTTTTCAATAGCCAGTGAACCAAGAAATAATTGTCATTTTCTGTACAATTTTAATGTGACCTTGTTTTCATTCTTACTGGTCCTTAACAGTAATGCACCCACAAACTGAATTAAGGTGTCTCTTTCCCTTTTGTAATTCTTTGTCAAACATGATGTAAATAAATAATGGATTCTTATGAGTGGGTTTTGAGGCCATATCCTATTTAAGGGATTCTGATAAGAATTAAATCTGAACTGTTCATGAATGTCATCAGAACCCCTAGATTAGGTTAACATTTGAAATCACTCACTGATATGTTTGTCCTATAATGTATACTGTGTTTGGAATTTAACTTGCATTATTGCTGTTTTGTGAAAATTTGTGGGATTCTTAAGGTCTTAAGAGCATTTTGGAACATCAGTGTGTAACCAAAATGGTACTTATTTTGAGAAATATTTATTCCCTTGAGACACCATTATTGTGGGTTTATCAAAAATAATTTGCAGTGGGATACAGGGAAACTCCATACACCGTATATATTATATATATTTCCTTTATACTGTTCATATCTGCGGAACAGCATTTTGCCATTTCCCTTAGGATCCTTATTCCGATCCTATTTTTAAAATAAAACTTAATTCGAGAAAATTATTTCATGAGAATTTGATCTTTGTCTTTATTAAGTTTGAACATTCATGATTTATTTGTACATGAACATGCAACTGAGCTATCTAAGCTGTATCCTCCTGTTTTGTCCTTGGTGGGGCAAAAAAGAGTAAATCTTTTAAGTTTATTAACATGTTGGTTTATATATTTTGCTTACGTAAATAAAAAAAAAGGAAACTATATGTAAACATTCCACAAAACATTTTCATGAAAAATGTAAAGTGTTGATTTTGCTTATGCTGAATTCCTGTCCTTTTTACAATTATGGTACTATTTAGAAATCTGTTCTAAAATTTAGCCCCTGGGCTAAGGAGCTGCAATCATTTGTCAAAAGTGTACAAACATTCATGCTAGATTTAATAATGGTTAACAGTTAGTAATTGCAACTTAAATTAAACCTTTCCTTCCTTCCTCCCCCCCACCTTCCCCTGCCACCAACCACTTGAATTTAGTGGAGAGTCCAAAACGTTCTCCATATAAAGTATAATGTCATATACACCGTAAGTTAATTTTTTGTTTAAAAAAAACATAAATCTGAGTTAAATTTTAGCTATAATCCTATTTTTTATGTTATATTTCACACACTTGAATTTTATAGATTAGTTTATTAGTTTAGCTTAAGAATTCAGTTTTGTTTTTAAAACAGATCACAGATCAGCCATGATCCCATTGAATGGTGGACCAGGTTCGAGGGGTTGAATGACACTCCCCTGCTCCTATGTTCCTATTTGTCAACATATTATTTTTGATACTATTAACTCGGATAACAAATAAAAATAATTTCTCCTCAGCACTTTTTGTCTTTTCAATATTTAGTGATGCCTGTTTTTAATACGTGACATGTGATTCTCCTACAATTTTAACTACCTGATCATAAATTTATCCCTCATTGTTTGTAATTTTTTGTAATCTTGACCCAAGATAAACCTTAATGTGTGACAGAATAAGAGTGCTCCTACCAGCACCTCACTGAAGCTACAGTCATGTTTGTCATGATGTTGACCTTCTGATGATGTCATCATTCTCCACTTCTGCCTAAGTCACCTATACATCTTTAATGGTCTGCATTAGAGACATTCATGAGAGTGGTTCCACACAATCAAACAGCTTTTTTTTTGGTGATCTGCCTAGGGACATCCACTATCAGCTTCTTGAGCCAATTCATTTGAGGGCCAGGATTGCACACTGTTGTGCCCATTTATGGCGCTCATGAATTGCCAGTTCATGTTTGACAGTGCAAAAATAAGTAATTCATTGGACTTGTTAACTAAGGTTTAAAGACATTTTGTTGGTATAAATCTGAGCACTTAATTAGAGCTTCTTGCATTAATCAGTTACACCTTTTTCCACTGTTATTTGAGTAAATGCTGCCTAGGTGCTATAATGAATTTTATATATGAGTTCAGTCCATTAAAACCTTTCTTTTACACCATGCCAGATATAATTGGATGATTTGCAGGACAGTTACTAGTAACATTTCAAGTTTTTGACAGCAACAACTGTAGCTGTTTCATTACAAACAAAACCCAGGTCTTAAATATTCACTGATGCACAACAGTGCAGTACTGTATAAGGGGCATTATTCATCCAATTGGTAGCATTATTTATTTATTAATGCATACAGTTGTATGTAATCTTTTTTAAAAATATGTACAATGCAGCTATGACTTAGCTGGATTCTAAACAAAATTGGTCGCCAACCATCAGAGAGAAGATTGCATTAACTCCACTGTTTCTCTGACAACTGTTCTTGCAAGTGTCATGATTTGAGTTATTTTTCTCTCCCCATAATAACCAAGGCCACCTGTTCACAGATTTTAACCAGTGGTAAATGAGAAATCAATTGAGACGAGCCTGATTATACCTGGTGTTTTGTTTTTTATACATATTTACGAGGTTGGATATTTGTGGCATAGTAGTAGTGTCTCTGCCTCTAGGGCAGAAGATCAGAGTTCAAGTCCCACCTTTGCCAGAAAGGTGTCACAACATGTGAGAATAGCTTGATTCAAAATACTTACACAGTATTATCCATTTTTCTAATTTTCACTTGTACTGCAGTGTCACATTCTGCGAGTGCCGGCTACAACATCAGACATGAAGGTTGCGTGCCCAGTTCGTAATGTACCCATTTATGGCCAGAAAAAGCATTGTTGGATTTTGCAAGTGATCAACATCAATGATGTTTTAAAAGGCAAACTAAAATATTCCACAATGATTCTTTGCTTTCTTGTCAGAAACACTGCTCACCTACTTGAAAATGGAGGCTAAAAATCTTAAAATAGTTTCACCTTTTAATTGTCACTTGGATATGTTTATAACCAATGCATTGCTTCCTTTAGATTTTAACTTAATGTTAATTATTTTTTGCTTTGCAGAACTTTCATTTCCTATTATAACTGTCTTGGTTTCAGCTGATATTCCTTTTGCATCTTCCAATGAATGGAAAATTCATTTTGGTGTGCTTGGATTTGGAGGAGTAACAGTAGATCTTGAGAGTTAAGAAAGCCTATCCTGCTGTATCTCAGGTATTGTGTACATGCCAACATTTACTCCAGGAACCACAGTTACTGGCTGTTTCAGAGAAAAGCAGCCTTGGAAAAGGAATGTAGAAAACATGTAAAGAGGCCATGCATCCCCTCGAACCTACCTATCCAGTTCTATCCCTTCCAAAGTGAGGCTTCTGCAGAATAAACTTTAGAGATTCTGTGATATGGTTCTCCCAGTCAAGGTCATTGTTGTAATAAACTGTCAGGCCACTGCATCCTTCTGAGGGCATTGGTCAGCCCAGTTGGCTGGATGGCTGGTTTGTGATGCAGACTGATGCCAACAATGAGGGTTCAATTCCCACGCCAGCTGAGGTTACCATGAAGGTCCCACCTGAAGCGTGGTCACCCTCGGATTAAATTCACCACCAGTTGTCTCTCTCTCTAATGAGAGAACAGTCATATAGTCGTCTGGGACAATGACAACTTTACCTTTCACCACCAGTGAATACATTTCAAATTAACCAAATCACAGACCTGTTAAGTATCTCTATAGAAGTCTCGTTGCAAGGGACGATGCATTTCTTAATTTAGAATAGCAGCACCAGTTCGACAAAGCATAGGATTTGTTCCAGTTTGGGAAAGTTCGAAGAGGACAGAACATTTTAATTACACCACTGTATTGTTCAGACTGTTAATCCTAACTGCTAGTTTCAGACAGAGCAGGTGTACAGCTGTCCTTTGGAAATATTTGTTCTGGAGCAAACAGAGCAATCTTACTTGCAGTCGCGTTTTACAGCAGTATGTGCACTTGAATAAAAATAGAGCATAGAATAAGAAGTCAGCAGCTCAGAAATATCTGAGGTGAGAAACTGGTAGGTTTAATGTTTCAGATTATTCATTAAAACCCATAGATTTCCAACATTTGCAGGTTTCTGTTTGCTTTTCTGTCTCCACAGATGCTGTGTGACCAGTTGAGTGCCTCGGTATAACAAATGTCTGTTTCCAAGTAAGTGAGGAGTCTCAAATCTGATGATCACATTCTGCTTTTGGGTGTTTTGATGAGATATCTGCTATATGACCTGCAATGCAAGGTATGGATGTCAACTTACTTAGATTTTACATGCAGTATTTTATACATGCTCCGTTTTAAACCGAGGGTGGTAGCGAGAAAAGACTAAGAAAGAATCAGGGAGAAGTCGGCTTTGTCACCACAACTGAGAGGGGGATTGCAGACGACATGGTGCTCAACAGGAGAAAGAGCATCAAACAGAGGGCAGTGGTGAGAAGTGACTGTGGGAAATTCTGAAAGAGTTTTGTCTTCCTACTGTTAGCGTATATAAGCTCTAATGGGTGGCCAATTTGAAGAGGGGATGTGAGGTAGAAGTGCTACTGTTGAGGTCAAAGTGCAAGCTTTGGTGAACTCGGTGGGGCAGGAGCAGTTAGAGACAATGGGTTGACCAGGACAGTCGAGTTTATGACGAAGGGTTTCAGCCCGAAACGTTGACTTTCCTGCTGTTTGATCTGCTGTGCTTTTCCAGCCTCATTCCTATAGACTGTAGCTTCCAGCATCTGCAGTCCTTATTGTCTCCAAGCTTTGGTGACCATTAGGCTTTACTGAGGAGAGTGAGCAGCATTAAGATATGGCAAGGTAGGGTCTTTAAATCCAATAGTTACTAGAGGGACAGTAGTGGCAGTTAGTGGAGTGGTGTCGTCCTCCTGTGAGATCAGGGTGAAGTTAATTGTCCCTGACAACTATGTCTGCAGGAAGTGTAGCCATCTGCAGCTCCTCTTAGACCACATGGATCAGTTAGAGCAGCATTTGGACTCACTGAGGAGCATACAGGAGGCAGAGGGAGTGATAGATAAAAGTTTCAAGGATGTGGCCACACCAAAGATTAAGCCCAATAGATGGGTGACCCGTGCAAGAATCCCCGTGGCTAGTCCCCTCTGTAACAAGTGTACTGTTTTAGATACTGATGGGGGCAATGTCCTCTCGGCGGAAAGCAACAGCAGCAACCAGATCAGTGGCACCATGACTGGCACTTTTGTAAAGCATGGAGAGTCAAAGTGTAGTTGAGTGGTAGTGATACGGGACTCTGTACTCAGGGGCATAGATAGGTGTTTTTGTGACCGTGAGTGAGACTCCAGGATGATGTGTTTCCTCCCTTGTCCAAGGGTCCAGGATGTCTAGGAGTGTGCGCAGGACACCAGATCGTGGTCCATATTGTTACTAACAACATAGGCAGAAAGAGAGATGGGGTCCTGCAAAGGGAATTTAGGGAGTTACGTAGTAAGTTGGAAAGCAGGACCTCCTAAGGTTGTAATCTCGGGATTTATTCCCTGTGTCATGTGCTGTTGAGGCCATAAATAGGAAGATAATACAGTTTAATGTGTGGCTAAAGAGCTGGTGTAGGAGGGAGGGCATCAGAAATCTGGATCATTGGGATCTTTTTCAGGGCAGGAGGGATCTGTACAAGAAGAACAGGTTGCACCTAAAATGGAGAGACACCAATATCCTTGCAGGGAGGCTTGCCACTTGGAAGGGTTTAAACTAGTGTGGTGGGGAACAGGAACCAGAGCAGTAGGTCAGCATGTGGAGTGATTGAGGAGAAGGTAGAAGTTAAGTCAAGTAAGTCTAAATAGGAAGAACAAGCAGGGCCAGATTAATGGACATGTTGGGACTAGCGGTCTGAAGTCTATTTATTTTAATGCAAGGAGTATAACAGGTAACGGCAGATGAGCTTAGAGCCTGGATTAGTATATGGAATTATGATGTTGTAGCCATTACAGAAACTTGATTGAGAGAAGGGCAAGACTGGCAGCTCAGCGAACCAGTTTAGATGTTTTGGGCGTGATAGAGAGGGATGTACAAGGGGTGGGGGAGCTGCATTACTGGTTAAGGACAATGTTATAGCTGCAATAAGAGTGGGTGTCTTGGAAGTCTTATCCAGCGAGGCCATAAAGGTAGAACTCAGGAATAAGACAGGTGCAATCACTATGATAGGGTTAGACTATCAGCTTCCTAATAGCCAGTGGGAGATCGAGGAACAATCGTGGAAAGATATTAAAACAACAGAGTTGTTGTAGTGAGTGATTTTAACTTCCCCAATATTGACAGGGGCTCCCTGAGTGCTGGGGCTTGAATGGGGCAGAATTTGTTTAGTGTGCCCGGGAAGATTTTTTTTGATTGATCGATTGAAGTACAGTGAAAAGCTTTGTTTACGAGCAGTACAGGCAGATCATAGACAACACAGTTCTTCTGAAGAAGGGTCCCAACCCAAAATGTCAACTTTCCTGTGGCTCT